ATTGAAGTTTAATAGCAGTTGTTCTATGTGTACCAAAATATATACAGTTGAAAATATGAACAAATTGAAGATTCATAACAAATTGAAAATATATACAGTTGTTGTATGTGGTTCTGATAACTTGGATGAATTTAGTTGCTTATTGTTTATTCTTTTTTTTTTGTTTAATTTTTTTTTGAACCATGCTTATTGTTTAAAGGAAAAAATCCAATCCGCAAACTGTCTGCAACTGCCCGCATATCCATGAACCCTACCCGCATAAATCGCAACTCGCATTGCGGGCGGTTGCGGGTTGAATTTTCCCCAAACTGCATACATGCGGGCGGGTCAAAACCGAACCGCAAACCGCACGAAACCGATCCGCGATCACCCCTAGTTTATAGCAATTATTTCGGGGCATTACATAATATTTTTCATATATATAACTACTAATTTGTTCACATCTTAAATCTTTTTCACACTAATTTTTACTTTGATATTTCATTAGAGATTAAAAAAAATATGTATTAACTATAGCAGAGCGGAGCATTTTCAAAGGCAGGTTATAAATTTCAAAGTTTAATCTCTGATTAGCGGATAGATCGATGCGTAGTGGTGCGGTTTTAGTGGATTGGGTGATATTTCGCACAGCCGTAGTCTCATTGTCACGCCCCAAATAATTAATCCAAAACAGATTCACCAACTTCCAATTACATTATCTTGTTTCCAAATCAACCCGTCCAATGCTTAATATATGTATGGAATATAAAGTCTCAACATAAACATCATCAATCTCTAATACGTGTATTCATTAAACATCAAAGAGATTTACAAAAAATATTCCACATGCGTATATTCAACATTTTTAGAATATGAATCTATAACTTGTGGCATAATATGTCAAATACAAATTAATGCCCTCAAGAGCTACAAATTCCAAGACTTAAGCCCGATTACACAAAAACTGATTTTTGAACCCATACATATAAAGCACTTGGCTTGTCAAAAATAATTACAACAAAAGAAAAGAACCTCGTGCTCTCAAAATATATTCCTTGCCTCTAACTCAGCGGGATCACCACATCATTTCCTCCACAAAATCTCATAGGGTGAGCAACAAAGCCCAGTAGGAAAATCTTAACAAAGTATATATATTTTATACAATATCCTGAAATGAATGCATATGCCATGCTATGTTCAAAAACATATATCTCTATATTTTGAAAATTTTGTGCACAATGCAATTTTGAGAATTTAACAATTCAATAATTTTAATGTAGTTCAAAGGGACAGTAAATACGACCCATGCAATCCTTAAGTTAGTGTCTGCAACTAGGCATAACAAGCACTATCAATCCCCACTTTATCGGCTGCTAACCGGAAGACACATGGTACCTCATCTGCGCGTGTTTTCGCTCTTTCACCATAGACACTTAGGCTAACTTAACCAATACCAACTACACCCTCTATCCGGACTTACCAACGTATTTACCTCAAAAACAAATCAATATGATCTTGTTTCACAAAATAATTTCATTTTTCAAAGCAATACTTTTTCAATGCAAGATTCAAAATCAATTGCATCAATGATAAAATGGAATGGCGATGCAAATGTCCAATGCAATAATAAAGTTCCATTTAATGATCTCAACAATGCCAATTCAAAAGGTAATGATAATAAAATAAAATGCCAATACAATATATTTCTATATCAATGCCTAGAAATTTCTCAATTTCTCAGTTCATCTACACAATCTTCCATTGTGATCAAATTCCACTTCTCTTGTCAATATAACATCATAATATATATTTTCAAAAGGAGGTTTTTTTTTTTTTTTTTTTTTTTTGTTTTTTTTTTGAAAAGTAAGGGAATCGAATAATAATAAAAAAAAATATGGAGATGGTGAATATAAAATAATGAATAAAAATAGAGTACCAAGTAAGTTTGATAATAAAAAAATAAAGTTTGGGCGGTGGATGGGTGTGATTAAAAAAAAAAAGAAAAGAAAGGAAGATTGGTATCCGTGTTGGTGAGAATAAAAATATATATATATATGGGTGGTGGAAACAATTATGGTGGGGGGACAAAAAGCGGCTTAAGTTGGTGGGTTGGATGAAGAGAGAGAGAAGTATATGGATAAGCTTTTACAGGTTGTTCCACCCTCCATGGGTTTAGAAATAGAATATATGTATCAGAGAGAGAGAGGGACCACGGTTTGGGGTGTTGGATTGGTTGAAGGTTCGGCCTAAGAAGAACATGAAAGCTGTAATGGTGGCTCGGTTGTGGAGTAGAGAGAGAGCTTCGGAGATGAGGCTGTAGGTGGTGTTGGTCGCCGGTGACAACGACGGCGCCTGGAGTGGCAGCCATGGGCTGTGAGCAAGCTGGGTTTTGCCCCCGAGAGAGAGAGAGAGGTCTGTGTTTTGTGGCTATTCATCTCCGAGAGAGCTCATGCCAGAGAGAGGAAGAAGAGAGAGTTGCCGAGAGGGAGAGAGCTGCCATGCATATGTGTGTGTATGCCGAGAGGGAGAGGTGATGGGTGTGTGTGTGAGCTGCTGGGTTTGTGTTAGAGAGAGAGAAGAGAGAGAGAGAGCTAGTGCATGTCCGTGTGTAGGTGTGCATGGGTGTCTCTTAATGGTTTCTTCTCCCTCTCCCTAAACCCGTGTGTGCATCTGTGTGTGTGAGTGCTCCGTCTGTCCTCCCCCGATGAGGTGACACCGCTACCGGCTCCACCGTTGGCGGTGGTGGTGGCGGCGCTTGTGGGGAAAGACTTGTGGCGGCGCTTGTGGCCGCCGAGGACTTGGCTAGTGAGGAAAGACTTGTGGCAGATGGAGCACTCGTAGGCAGATCACTTGAAAGTAGATAATCTGTTTCGGAAAATGGCATGAGCCATGGAAATGGAGTTTCATGTCCTTGGAGTAGGTGTTGTTTTGGAGAACATGGATGGGGCTATTGCTAGTGGTTCAGTAATGGCAAAGCCAAATGGGAATCCTGAAACTGGTGACAAGTTGGAAGACGGAGCTACTAACTCAAATACTGAAGCAATTCCCGAGCTTCAGGGAAACAGGATTTGGAAGAATTAATTAGAGAGAGAGTTGAAGATGCAGCGGAGTGAAGGTATGTGTAGAGAACTCCAGCGGGCAGTGAAGGTTGAGGTCCGGCGGGCGGCTAAGGTGAGGTTGCCGCCCGCCGGGGAAGCGAAAATACTAGGTTCTAAACCTGCTCTGATACCATGTAAGATTTAATGTATAACATGTATAGATAAAAAGGAAAGAATAAATTGTGTATTGAATGTTGTATTGAGTGTTCTTACAAGGGGAATGCACTATCTTTTATAGAGAGAATTTGATAGAGGAGTTACAAGCTTACAAGCCAAAAGAGAAAACAGAATGATTAAAGCATACTAATTATTATACTAACTTAATTATTAAAGCAGCACTTTACATATTATATTCTAACAGTGGGTAGTTCTGGGTTGTCTTTTCCTCAAACCGCATAAATGTGGATCAATCCAAACTGATTCACAAACCGTCCAAATCCGAATCGCGAGCACCCTATTAAAATGTATTGGGTTTTGCTTCAATTATATGTGGCAACAAAACAACGATGCGGCCTAATCTTACACCATAAACAGGACTGTCCAGTTAAAAAGTAAATAGGAGAGAAGCCACTTAAAATCGGGTCCACTCTAATAATAAGACAAGCCCCATAGCAATAAGAATAAATAAATATAATCTTAAGGATTTAACTTAGTGAGAGAAGAAATCAATTAAAGGGTTTACCATTCGAGAGATCGTAAGTTCAAATCTTACGAAAGTCAAATATCATAAATCTTGGAGTTATTGGAGGTTTGTCCGATCGTTTACTTCAGGATACTAGGATTAGCTACTAGAGGTTTGTCCGATCGTTCATTTTAAGGCACTTGGATTAGTCTAGGTGTGCGTAAACTAACTCAGACACTTGGTTATAAAAAAAATAAGAAAAAAAATATTATAAAATTTATTAATTTTTATAGTCTCCATTATCACGATGAAGCATGAAATTATTTGATGCTCTTGAAATATCACGTGACTATATATCTACTCAAAAATATTGATAAAAAATGAAAAATTACACTTTTCGCTGCTATAGTATTATCCAAATATTACTTTAGTTCCTATTCTTTCAATTTGAATAATTTGGCTTATATATTTTAAGTCTAGTTCAATCTAAGTCTTTAATCTAAATTTTTATTAATTTTTTCACGTATATACTTCAAGAGGCTAACAAGTGTCACAAAATCATTAATTTTGACTTCGAACTTAAATGAAAGAATAAAATTGATATTAAACTTAAAGTTAATAGTGTAAGAATCAAATTATTCAATTTAAAATTATAGAAACCAATAGCAAAATTTAAATCGAACAACAAGAGGTAAGAGGTAAAAGTATATAAAATATGTCCACTGAACAATACCTACTGCAAAGTTGGTGGGTTGTGGTTTTTGTATGCGTGGCGTGAGTACCTGAGAAAGAAGAGAAGAAGAGGATGCAATTGTTTTCTTTTATATGATTTGATTACTTCAGGTAATTATAAGTTTAACAATTTATGAGTATTGTTATACACTCGTTAACATACTTCAAATAGTTATATTATTTTTTTTCGTAAATAAAAGTGGAAAATAAAAAAATGCACAATAATTTAATACCTTCTTAATCAATACTGAAAAATCTAGAAATCTCCTAAATGTTGATTTGTGATTATGTATCAATTTTAAGCAGTAAACAACAATCCCAATCAAACAATCAAGACAAATCGACACAACGATTTTGAAGAGAAAGTTTGGGTTTCTGTTAGGAATTCAGATAAGCATTTGGTTTGAATAAGCCCTAGTCTTTAGGGTACTTGTTTAGTGTTCCTTGACTTTTTTCTAGTTGCACTCATCATGTTGATTAGTTGTAACTAGTTTTCTTATTCTGTTAAGATTGTAGAAGGCTATTTATAAGCCTAGATTGTTCAATAAGAAGTAAGTCATTTCCAGAAT